AATAAAGGCAACACAAACCAAAGGAATGCTGGAAATAGAAAAACTGGGCAAACAATTGGGAACTACAGATTCAAGCATAGCCAACAGAATTCAAGAGGTGGAAGAGAGAATCTCAGGCGTGGAAGATAAACTAGAGGCAATAGATTCATCGACCAAAGAAAATCGTAAATAGAACAAATCCTTAACACAAAACATCGAGGAAATGTGGGACACTGTGAAAAGGCCAAACCTAAGAATAATAGACATAGAGGAAGGTGAGGAAGCCCAGCTCAAAGGTGCCGAAGACATATTCAACAAAATTATTGAGGAAAACTTTCCCAATCTGAAGAAGAACATGCCCATGAAAGTACAAGAAGCATACTGAACACCAAATAAGCTGGACCAAAGAAAAAAGACCCCTCGACATATAATAATCAAAACACCTAGCATACAGAATAAAGAAAGAATATTAAGAGCAGCAAAGGAAAAAGGACAGGTAACATATAAGGCAGACCTATCAAAATTACACCTGATTTCTCCATGGAAACCCTGGATAGATGTTCTACAAGTACTAAGAGACCACGGATGCCAGCCCAGGCTACTATACCCAGCAAAACTCTCAATCACTATAGATGGAGAAAAAAAATATTTAATGGCAAAACCAGATTTTCCCAATATGTATCTACAAATCCAGCCCTACAGAAAGTTTTGGAAGGAAAACTCCAACCCAAGGAAATTAACTACGCCCACAAAGATGTAGGCAACAGATAATCTCACTACACCAGAAACCAAGGGTAAAGCAGGACAAATATATTCACAATACCACTGCCAACAGCAAATCTAAAACAAACAAGCATCAAAAATCAATGATCCTTACTCACCCTCAACATTAATGGTCTTAACTCACCTATAAAAAGACACAGGCTAACAGAATGGATACAAAGACAGAATCCATCCTTCTGCTGCATACAAGAAACACATCTAAGCTTCAAAGATAGATATTACCTCAGGGTAAAGGGTTGGGAAAAGATCTTCCAATCAAATGAAACCAAGAAGCAAGCAGGTGTGGCTATCCTAATATCTAACAAGTTAGACTTCAAACCAAAATTAATCCAAAGAGATGAAGACTGCCATTTCATATTCATCAAAGGAGAAATCCAACAACACAAAGTCTCAATTCTGAACATCTATGCTCCAAATACAAAGGCACCCACATTTGTAAAAGAAATGCTACTAAAACTCAAACCTCACATAAAACCGCACACATTTATAGTGGGAGACTTCAACACACCACTCTTACCACTAGACAGGACCACCAATGAGAAACTCAACAAAGAAACAAAAGAACTAACAGAAGTTATGTCTCAACTGGGTTTAACAGACATCTATAGAACATTCCATCCAAATACAAAAGAATATACCTCCTTCTCTGCTTCACATGGAACCTTCTCTAAAATCCACCACATACTAGGTGGCATAATAAACCTCAACAGATATAAAAGAATTGGAATAGTCCCCTGTATCTTATCAGACCACCATGCTTTAAAATTGGAATTCAACAACACAAATCGCAGAAAACCTACAAACTCATGGAAACTGAACAATATGAAATTGCATCACACCTGGGTCAAAGAAGAAATAAAGAAAGAAATTAAGGACTTTCTAAAATTCAATGAGAATGAGGACACAACATACCCGAACTTATGGAACACCTTGAAAGCAGTGTTATGAGGGAAGTTCATTGCACTAAGTGCCCATATGAAGAAAACAGAGGATAGTCACATAAGATAATTAATAGCACAACTGAAAGCCTTTAGAACAAAAAGAAGCAAACTAACCCCGCAGGAGTAGACACCAGGAAATAATCTATTTGAGGGCTGAAATCAACAAAATAGAAACCAGGAAAACAATCAATGCAACAAAGATTTGGTTTTTTGAAAAAAAAAACAACAAGATAGACAAACCTAACAACAAAGCAGAGAGAGAGAACATGCAAATTAACAAAATCAGAAACAAAAAGGGGAACATAGCAACGGACACAGAGGAAATCCAGACAATTTTCAAGTCATGCTTTGAAAACCCATATTCCACAAAAATTGAAAATTCAAAGGACATGGACAAATTTCTGGATAACTATCACTTACCAAAATTAAATCAAGAACAGACAAACAAATTAAATAGACCTATAACCTGCAATGAAAATGAAATAGAAGCAGTCATTGAAAGTCTTCCAACCAAAAAACGCCCAGGGCCAGATGGCTTCATTGCAGAATTCTACCAGAAATTCAAGGAAGAACTAATACCAATACTCCTCAAATTGTTCCACACAATAGAAACAGAAGATTCATTGCCAAACCCTTTCTACGAGGCCACAATCACCTTGGTACCCAAGCCTCACAAAGACACAACTAAGAAAGAAAACTACAGACCAATATCCCTGATGAACATCGATGCAAAAATACTCAATAAAATGCTGGCAAATCAAATCAAAGAATACATCAGAGAAATCATCCACCATGACCAAGTAGGCTTCATCCCTGGATTGCAGGGATGGTTTAACATACGAAAATCTATCAACGTGATCCACCATATAAACAAACTGGAAAAAGAAAAACCATATGATCATCTCCCTAGATGCTGAAAAAGCCTTCGACAAAATTCAACAACCTTTCATGATAAAGGTCTTGGCGAGATCAGGGATAACAGGAACATACCTAAACATAATAAGAGCAATATACAGCAAATCAACAGCCAACATCAAACTGAATGGAGAGAAGCTTAAGGCTAAAAGAATACAATGGGGTGAGGACAGCATCTTCAACAAATGATGCTGGCCAAATTGGATGATGGTGTGTAGATGACTGCAGATAGACCAATGTCTATCACCATGCACAAAACTCAAATCCAAATAGATCAAAGACCTCAACATCAATCCAGCCACACTGAACCTCTTAGAAGAGAAAGTAGGAGGTACCCTTGAACAAATTGGTATAGGAGACCGCTTCCTGAACATAACTCCAGGAACACAGACACTGAGAACAACAATTAATAAATGAGACCTCTTCAAACTTAGAAGCTTCTGTAAGGCAAAGGACATAGTCGACAAGACCAAAAGGCAGTCCACAGACTGGGAAAAGATTTTCACCAATCCTACATCCGACAAAGGACTGATCTCAAAAATATACAAAGAACTCAAGAAACTGTCAACAAAACATCAAATAACCCTATTAAAAATGGGGTACAAAACTGAAGAAAGAATTCTCAATAGAGGAAATCAAAAAGGCTGAAAGACACTTAAGAAAGTGCTCAACATCCTTAGCTACCAGGGAAATGCAAATCAAACAACTTTGAGATACCATCTTACTCTTGCCAGAATGACTAAAATTAGAAATACCAATGACAGTTTATGCTGGAGAGGATGTGGAGAAAGGGGAACACTCCTCCACTGCTGGTGGGAGTGCAAACTCATACAGCCATTTTAGAGATCAGTATGGCGGTTCCTCAGGAAAATGGGAATTAGTTTACCACAGGACCAGGCAATCCCCCTCTTAGGCATATACCCAAATGATGCACATCCATGCAACAAAGACATATGCTCAACTATGTTCATAGCAGCATTATTTGTAATAGCAAGAACCTAGAAGCAACCTAGATGCCCCTCAACTGAAGAATGGATAAAGAAGATGTGGCACATCTACACAATGGAATACTACTCTGCAGAAAAAAATAATGGAATCTTGAAATTCTCAGGCAAGTGGATGGCACTTGAAGAAACCATCCTGAATGAGGTAACCCAGTCACAAAAATAGGAACATGGTATGTACTCTCTCATATATGGATTTTAGACCTAGAGCAAAGGATCACCAGCCTATAATTCACACCACCAGAGGAACTAGGATACAAGGTGTCTTCTAAGAGATCCATATAAAGTCCCTCACAGAAGGGGGAAGGGACAAGTCCCCCAGAGCACAGGGGATGTGGGGGGGGTGAAAGGAGAGAGAAGTAGGAGCAAGAGAAGGGGAGGAGAGGAAAGCACATGCGACTAGCAAGATTGAGTCAGGGTAGGAATAAAAGACAGAAGAGAGAGAGAGAACGTAAAAGAGGGAGCCATTATTGGTTTGAAGAGAAAATTGAACCTAAAGAAAGGTCTAGAGACCTACAAGAGTACCGCCAACTAACAATTTGAGCATCCGTGGAAAGGCTACCATAAATACCCTTCCCGGATAGTGAGATCAACAACTAACTTATCCCTGGAGCCCTCATCTAATACCTGTTGGAAACAGAAGCAAACACCCATACCTAAACACTGAGTCAAACTATAATCCAGATGCAGAGGGAGAGGACAAGACCAGGTTGCAGAAACACACAGAGACAGCTGACCTGAACAAGGAGGAGCTAGCGTGCCCCCGCCCCAGACTGATAGCTGGGAAGCCAGCATGGGACTGACTCAGGCCCCCCTGAATATGGGTCTCAGATAGAAGGACTGAGCAGTCTAAGGGACCTCAGACAGTGGAATCAGGATGTATTCCCGGTGCACAAAAGGACCTTGCAAACACATCCCCCATGGAGGGATACTGCCTTAACCTAGAGACAGGAGAGAAGTCCTAGTCCCTACTTCAAATGACTTGACAGATCTACATGACCCCACCTGGATGGCATTGCCCTAAATGTGGAATGGGGATGGGGGGACGGGAGGGGAGGGTGTTCAGGGTGCATGTGAGGGGGCAGAGAGGGTAAAAGTGAGTGAGGGGAGGGAAGGAGAGGGAATTGGGATCAACATGTAAAATAATAAAATAAATAAATAAAAAGACATGATAATCATTTCTTCTAACATCATGCATGCATTGTTTTCTGATAAAAATGTTAATTTAAAATGAAATAAGATCCTTCAAACATGTATTTTTCTTAATAAAAAATCCTTTTTTCCAATTTGAGAATAACTATGAGATCATGAATCAAAGTACAGAACTTACAAGCCAGGGACCATTACGACAGGAAAACACAACACTAGCTATTGCTACCTTCCACGGTGGAGGAGCCCCAGGTGCACGTTTATCAAGTAATCCTGCTTCTGCTCTGAGCAACAGCTCCTCACGCAGTGCCTGGGCAATGGCGTTCACAGCAGCATGGACTTTGTAACTTGGGGGTGAGGTGTTCATATCCCAAACATGCAGAGCTCTTGAGGCCAACGTGCCATTTTGTTCACACCGGCTCAGGTTTCTGATCCAATAACCATCCAAATACGGACATTCAAATAGATTTGACCACACATCCTGGATAAAGATATCATGAGGGTATTTCCCAGGTTGAACACCTCTGAGAAAATCCTTGAATCCCAGAAGTTCATCCATGTGATCAGAAAAGGACAACCCTCCACCAAAGTATGTGTAACTTAGACTCTGTCCAAAGGGTAATATGGTGATATCCCAATCTGAAGTTGTGATCCAAACATTACCAAGAGGAGAATTGCAAAAGATGTTATAGACAAACCTCAGAAGAGAATATGTGTCACCAAACACAACAATGACATTTGTCAACGTGAACCTTTCTAGGAAACGTTGCCTGTCGGTTGTGTCCTTGGCAGGAAATTCTGGAACTTTTTCTGCAAATGCAACACAAAGTCTGTGCTTGGTCATCTCTTCTGTGATGTTCCTAAGGAATATTTCTCCCCTCATATCATCTGGGACCACAAGGCCAACCCAGACCCAATCGAAGTACAGCAGCAGTTGAATAATTCCCTGATTCAGAGCTGCGGTGTTCACAGGAAACTGGTAAGGAGGCTGGGGCTGGACTCCGGTCCCAAGACTGGGGTTATAAGGAGCATAGCTCATCTAAATGGAAAGCAAAGTTAGTACGTACAGAAGACAGTGATGTTTATTCCCAAATGGTTTAGTTTATATTATCTCTTAATATGCTCTAGGAGAAATTAAGCAATTAAATAACTTTACTAAGAAATACCAATTTGTCACCTATAATCCATCACTTAATTCTTATTGCTTATATGACATCTATCCTTCTCTTTACATCTTTTCAAAAAGATGTATTTATTTATCATATATGTAAGTTGTCTATCTGCATGTACAGCCTTATGACAAAAAGGACACCAGATTCCACTACAGATGGTTGTGAGTCATCCTGTGGTTTCTGGGAATCGAACCCAGGACCTCTGGGAGAGCAGCCAGTGTTCTTAACCCCTGAGCCATCTCTCTAACCCCCTTAACACTTTTGAAAATAAGCAAGGCTGATGAGTGTCTGTCTCCTACCTTGGTTTTGGTAATACCAGTCATTAGCGAATCCATTCCTTCCTGTGCCCAACCTTGCCTTTTCCTGATAATGGAATTGGTGACACATTAAATGAAAGGTCTTTCCCCCTGGAAGTCACAAATCCATAACTATAACTAATTAACTGATAAAAAGGAATCTGTGAAGCATTTTAAAATCCACTAGACTAGTGAGCTCTGTATTTCCTTAGAAGTTCCTATGTCTTTTGCTTTTCTGTAATGTTAAATCCATATTCAACTGCCCTAAAATAAGCTTGCTTGGGGTAAAAGCCTGGCTATCTTCCCTAAGTCTGGCTGTAAAGTCACTCCTTACCCAGTGCCCTCTGGCCACCCCCCATCACGTTGCTACCTTTCTCACCAGGAAGCTTGAGTGAGATGTCTACATTGCCATCCCTATGCACCTCAGGGCATTTCCTCTTGAAAAAGAAAACTAGATCCTTAATTACCTAATCCGCTAAATCAAATGACTAGTTATTAAAATTCATTTCATCTAATCTAACATTGGCATGAAATGATCCTTTTCTTAAAAATTTTCTTCTAATGGGTTCCAGGATTCTTTCTTTAATCAAGGAATGTATCCAGGGTTTGGCCAGCACTGTCAACCTACATTCCTGAATCTTCTCTCTCTCCACACTGGTGATATCAGAATACCAGAAGGTCCCATGGGTCATATTGGGATCTGATCCCTCTTTTGATACAAATTCCCTAAATGATACCTAAAATTACATGCCCACTTAGCTCATACCTAGCTCTATTCACCGACTTCTCTCCAAGTATCTGAATTTGAAAGTTTAGTGTACATTTCACTTACTGGATCCAAAATCATGATAATTGGATATAAACACTCAATACTGGCTGAGAGAGAAAGGTATGTGGGGAGGGAAGGAAATAAGACACAACAAAAATCACAAAATGAAATAAACATGAATACTTTGAGGAAGGAGACAGCATAAACAAATACTCAATATTTAATAATTGCACAAAAGTAAGCAATTTTAATAGATAATATAAGATTGCCATGTTTCTATATTATTAAACTTTGATAATTGGTTCACAAGACTCATGAAACTCGCTTATTTTTATGTTTATTTAAACTTGTATAAAAACCTGAATGAATTACTTTTAAATCATAGATTTAAAAAATATGTGTTTGAAATGCAACAAAAATGCTTCCTTTCTTTAACATAGACTGAGATAATACATTTGTTTGTAGGGAAAAAGAAAACACTTTTAGAGGCCTGAGGAGAAAGCTTAATTTCTAAAGTGCATGCTGTGCAAAGGGTGGACCTGAATTTGATCCCCAGCATCCATTTCAAAGCTGGGCACAGTGACAAATAGCTAGAGTCCCAGTACTAGAGATGTGGAGACTGACCGCTGGAACTTGTCGTACAGCCACAAATCCAATAACTCTAAATTCACTGAGAGGCACTGTCTCAAAATGCAAGGTGAGAAAGGGACCTGATGTTAACCTCTAGGCTCCACACTCATGAGCAGAAACATGCCTGACCATTCCCACACATACTCTCACACAGGCACATAAAAGATTTTTAAAGTCATTAGGAAAAGAGTGAAACTGTCTCTTACATCCCCAGAGGATTCTAGTTTTAAAACACAGAAGAAAAGCTGGTCAATCCAAAGCTTCTTCTTTGGACGACACAATGGATGAGAAGAGTCACCATAGCAAAGAACAGATCCGTTCAAAGACAGAAGAGAACTCCTTAAACGCCAGCACTCAGGAGGAAGAGGCAGGTGGATCTCTGTGAGTTTGGTGGCAGCCTGGTCTACATAGCAAGTTCCAAGGCAGCTAGAGCTATGTAGTAGAGACACCCAATCTTAAAAAAAACCAAAACCAAATCTCAGCTGGATTGGTGGGGTGGGCTGGGAGTAGAATGAGAGCAGGAGGGATCAGATGGGGAGTATTTGCTGGGAAACGTGGCAAGGGGTGGGGTTGGGGGGGTTCTGGGGAAAAGGTAGAAACCTAATGCAAAGAAAACCCCAGGATCTATGAGGATGACCCTAGCTAAGACTAGCAATAGGAGATAGAGAGCCTGAACTGGCATCTTCTGTAACCAGGCAAAACTTCCATCAACCCAGCCACCAACCTTTCGACCTACAATTTGCCCTGCCTACAAGATGTGCTGGGGTGCAGGTGGCACAGAAATTGTAGGAGTGGCCAACATCGACAGTCTTGAGATCCTTGCCACCAGAGGGAGCTCACCCCTGACACTGCGTGGAGAGCCAGGACCCAGAGGAGGGGTAGCCCGGAGATCTAGGAGAGAGAAAAACACAACTGGCAAAAGAAAACCAAAACCTCAATGAAATAATTCCTAATGATATTCTGTGATACTGAAGCCTAGCCCAACAGTCATCCCAATAGTCATCAAGAGGCGTCATCCAGCAACAGAACGAAACAGATGCAGACCCACAGCCAAACATTAGGCTGACCTTGAGGAATACTCCAGAGGAGGGGGAGGAAGGATTGTAGGAGCAGGAGGGGTCAAGACCATCACAAGAAAACCCACAGAATCAACTAACCTGGGCTCATAGGGGCTCACAGAGACTGAACGGACACCCGGGGAGCCGGGGGACTGACTTGGGCCCTCTGCATATATGTTACAGTTTGGTCTTCTTGTAGGATTGCTAACTGTGGTGGGAGCTGGGTCTGTCTCTGACTCTTTAGCCAGCTTTTGGGACCCTATCTCTCATGCCCTATCTCTCATACCAGCTTGTCTACTCCAGCCTTATTATGAGGGGAAGTGCCTATCCTTACTGCGATCTGATATGCCAGGTTTGGTCGATAGCCATGGGAGGCCCGCCTTTTCCTGAACAGAAATGGAGGAGGAGTGAATTGGTGGGGGACAGAGAGGGGTGTGAAAGAGGCAGAGAGGGGGGAGGAGAGGAGGGAGAGGAAACTGCAGTCAGGTGGTAAAAAAAAATAATAATAATAAAAGAAAATTAAAAAGATAATGTAAAAAAAAAAAAAAAACAAAATCCCAGAAGTCACAAGCAGATGAAAGGATGTCAGAGCTATTCTATAGAGTGATTACAATCACAAACACAACTCAAGCAAGAAGGTGGTGTAGGAAGGGAACCAACCAGAACCTAAATAGGAGTTAGCAAACTGGAATTCAGTGGAGAAAACTTAAAATGTGAAGGAAAACTTCAGCAGAAAAAAAATTGAAATTCTGGAAAAGAACCATCTAAACTTTATGGATATTAAAAAGGAAATCAATCGAATGAAAACCACAACCAAACAACCGTTTGTGAATTTTCTTCAAGTTGGGGGTGTGCCCTAAGAAGTGTGGGGCTTAGAGGGTCTGCCACGTGGAGCTGTTGAAGAGCCAACACGCAGCACCCAGGCTGGAAAAGCAAACAAATAGAGAGAAAGGATTACCTGTCATAGTCAATGACAAAATAATTTACACATGTTAGGGACACATTTACACATATTAGAGGTGAATTGCTTATCCTACACAAAAAAATCTCAATTGAAAAAATGCTAATGTGATAATAAAGGAAATGAAAGTCTTTAAAACATGGGTCAGCAACACAACATTGCCATCTACATAGTTCACACTTACGAAGTATGCAATTGAATTACAAAAAGAAATCATGAAAAAGTCTCATGGCGTTATGAGGAAGTTGAAAGTTTTGTGTTGGACCACAGGCATAGCTGTCTTTGACCACACGCAGCCCCCCTGGCAACAAGTAAAAGAAGAGAAAAACTTGAACTTCATTAAAACAAAACAAAACAGTGGTGGCCTGTGCCTTTAATCCCAAAACTCAGGAGGCAGAGGCAGGAAGATCTCTGAGTTTGAGGCCAGCCTGATCTACAGAGTGAGTTCCAGAATAGGCTCCAGAGCTACAAAGAGAAACCCTGTCTCAAACAAAACAAACAAACAAACAAATCCAAACCCCAAATCATTAAATCAATAAATGAGTTAATGAACTAAGCTGACAGTGTTCAAAACAAGAAACACAAATGTTAAAAATAAATAAATAAAAAATAAAAAAATAACAATGTTGAACTTCCTTAGCCACCAGGGAAATCCAAATTACAAATAAATATGTTGAGCCTCTGTCACCGGAGTCACAATGGCTATTGCTAGGAAAGTACTTCGCAGGGGCAGGAGAGACAGCTCAGCAATTAAGAATGAGGACAGGACCTGGGTTTCATTCCCAGCACCAACATGGTGGCTCACGACCACCTGTAACTACACATCCAGACGATCTAACACCTTCAGGCCTCTTCCACGGACACCAGCCATATATGTTGTTCATACAATATACATGCAGAGAAAACACAAACACACACACACACAAATCTTAAAAACAAAAACAAGTGGCAGGTGTGAGGAAACAGAAGGCCTTATTGCTGCTAGTAGGAATGCAAACTGACAGGTCAATCCAGAAATGAGTTCACAAACAATAGACCAACCACACAACTCAGCTCTACTACTCCAGGGTGTAGATACTCCAGGCTCTGGGCCAATGCAAGAGAAACTGCACATCCATCTTCTACTGTAGCTTTCATTCCCTACACTGTTCGCAGTGATCAAAAAACTGCTGCTTGGCGGGACTCCGTGGACTCAAAAGCTTCTTCTATACAGCAAAGGGGAGGGGCCTGAGGCAGGGAAGCCCAATGGGAGCTGTTTGGTGGGAGGACAGCAAACAGTGAGAGCCGGGTGGGAGGAGCAACGACAAAAAAACGAGTAAAGTACAATTATACACGTGTGCTTTTAAATTACTGTATTACAAAGACAAATACCATAGCAATCGTAAGCCCAAAGTATAATATTTAAAAGAAGAAATAAAATTCACCCGGGAAAACTAGTAAGTTATAGACAGGCCAGTCAAGTCTGCATAGGAAGACACTGTCTCATAAAAACATGTTAGCCTAATGCAGTTGGCAAAGATTTTAACTTACTTCACTGATGCAAGCAGGCAACAACAGAAACTAGATCACTGTTATTTGCAAACCAAAATATTTCTAAACAGCCATTTTAAGTTTATTGTAAGCTCTACAAACAAAACCACATTTGACTTAGAAATTTCACTATCCTAGCACTACTTAAGGACTTTGGGGGCACATCCCCCATGGAGGGATGCTCCCTTAACCTAGAGACAGGACAGAAGGCCTAGTCCCTACTCCAAATGACTTGACAGATTTAGATGGCCCCTCCTGGAGGGCATCACCCTACATGTAGAGTGAGTGGAGAGGGATGGTTGGGGGGAGGCATGAGAGGGTGGGAGAGAGGAAAAGAGGGAGGGAGAGAGAGGGAACTGGGATCGATATGTAAAATAAAAATATAAATAAATAAATAAAAAGAAGTCATCACTGATCTCTGTGGGTTTGGAGACTCCTGGAACTAGCTCTTGTAGACCAGGATGGTCTTGAACTCACAGAGATCCACCTGCCTCTGCCTCCTGAGTGCTGGAATTAAAGTCATGTGCCACTACCACCCAGCTACAAGAATATTTTTAAAACAAAGACAAGCATTAAAACTTTCCTCCTGGCCAGGCAGTGCTGGCACACGCCTTTAATCCCAGCATTCAGAAGGCAGAGGCAGGAGGGTCTCTGTGAGTTTGAGGTCAGCCTGGTCTACAAAGCTGCACAGAGAAACCCTGTCTTAAACCACCCCCCAAAAAAGGAAAATTGTAAACAACCCAAACATCTCCTCTGGTTCTTATAAAAATAAGTAATATGTAGCAACCTAAGCTGATACTACAGAAAAATAATCAAGCGTATGTTCACACTAGTTACAGTAAAAATACGTGAGTAGAACTGGCACAGCCCTCAATGCTTGGCAATGCTCTAAAACCGCACAGGAAGGAAAGAGTACATATTAACAATGATAAGGAAATTTATTTTTGGAATGATAAGATTACAGGTTGCTATTATTTTTACCTATGTTTTACATTTAAAGGCTTTTATTTTATCTTATGAATAAATTATACTTTAGTTAAAATGATAACCAAATAGTAAATTATTAAGCAGTCCCATACCTCATCAAGAAACACTAACAGAGCCAGTGTTCATTACTATACCACTATGTGTAACCTGAGGAGCCAGGATTCTTGGCATACCTGAGGGACGTTGTAGAGACTTAGGACTCGGGAGATCTGAGTTGATATTCCTGCAGAGATGCCTCCTATCACAGCGACCAGCTTGTCACTCTTCTCGGGCCTGCAGCTGTAGTTAGGGGTTGGGGGGCTCTCTCCTGAGATCAAAGCCATAGAACTCTCCATGGCCTTCATCTCAATGAAGTTGACATTGAAGAGATAGAATCCCAGGGACAAATTGAATAGAATATTTGGGTCCTTGTTGATTGTTTCTATAGCAAAAACCATTGCCAACAAGTGTTGGTAATGTTTAGTGAAATCTCTAGGAGGAAAAATTAGAAAGACAGTTTTCTGTGTTCTTTCTTTTTAATTAAAGTGTAATTACATCATTTGTTCCTCTCAATTTCCTCTCTCCTGTTTCTCCCCTTGTTCCCTCCCAAATACTTGATTTCTACTTCTAAAAATCTAAGTCCTATAAAGAATATACATGATAATCTAAGAAACAAGCAACATATTCTATATGGAAAATGTGAGGGAATTTGGACTATAAAAAACAGATTCATAATACAACTAACTCACTATCAAAGTCACAATTTTTGGTTTTGGATTTTCTTTCTTTCTTTTTTTTTTTTTTTTTTTTTTTTTTTTTTTTTTTTTTTGAGACAGTATCATTATGCAGACTTGGCTGGCCTGAAACTCACACTGTAGAACAAATTAACCTCAAATTCACAGAGATCCACCTACCTCTGCCTCTCAAGTGCTGAGATTAAAAGACTGCATCACCACACACATTCAAATGTGTAATTTTAACTTTCTACTGTGCAACTTGTGTCTGAGAAAGTAAAATCAAGGAGGGATGCATGTGGGGAGTGGCAAACATTAAAATTTAGTATTTCCTGTGTATCTTCAATAATAGGATAAACCTCAGGAAAGTAACAACGCTTAATCAACTATAGCAATTTTAAAAATACTGTCAAGCAAATTTAAGTGGGAAAAAATGTTTCCAGTACAATATCTTAAATGCATAAAAGACCATTCTCAACTGCAGAGTGCTTTTAAAGTCTTCTTAATGTGTTTAACAGAATTCAGCATGAATAGGAAGGGACCCACAAAGATCCACACATAACTAAGGAACTGTTGGCAGTTGATGGCTACTGGAGAAGGGCGGGTCAGTTCCCTTCCAGTATGTTGGCCCTAGTAGCTTGTCCATGTTCCAATTGGTGTTCTATACTCATGCAGTACAGGCAGACTAAATAACACAGTGCTTTTTTTTTTTAAGGAGAGTACATGAAGTTAGGAGAGAGGAGATATTTGAAGGGAGGCAGCAGGGGTGGATTTGATCAAAATATATTGTATGAAATCCTTAAACAATAATTATTTTATAGAGAGAAACCAAACACTTACATGTAAACATATTCCGGTATGTAGGTTGTGCTATGAAAGCCAAATCTAGTTCTGGTGTCCCCTTGAGTCACTTGAAGGGAAAAGAGTCCCCCAATAACAAAATCTCCATCTTGATAGTATCCAGGAGAACTTGGTATATTTAAGGAGAAACTAGAAATTTGTTCCTGGAATACAGTGAGAATAACCAGGAGAGAGAAAACAATGAATAATTTCATAATAGCATTGATAAATAATTGGTAAAACCCAGAAATCTGTTGAGCTGAGTCTGGGGCTAATCAGCCCTGATAGTACAAAAACAAACATGTGGTCCTCTGATCAATGTCAAATTTATAAGACATTGTTTTGTCCTGATTCAGATGGACCAATATCCAAACACTCACTCCCTTGTTTCCTGGGAGTGTAATCTGTGTTACACCTGCTTAGCCCTTAATTATGTCCCCTTTGCAGAGGCACCATAAGTCTCCTGGGGGTCATGGACATCTCACTTGGCACCTGGGCATCCTGATTCTCAGAAGGAAAACATACAATTAAGAACAAGTGTGAATCCCACTAAAGCACCTGTGGGGTGTGTAAACTCAGTTGAGTTGAGAGTTTTAAACATTCCAAGGTTAGGACAGACTAAGTAGTGGAACCATTATTCTCTAAGTCATGAAGTATCATCAAAGGAGGGTATGGAAGGGCTCAGTCAGGGGGCGGTTCTGGACTCTTAATCATTTAACTGTCATTTTAGTGTATCTCTGCAAAATCAAGCCAAAGCCTTTTCATTAGATGATGTTATTTCTGATTACTTCACAGGGTCAATTATTAACTTGGCCAGGTTGTCCTTGAAGTTGTGACCCTCCCATCTCAACCTTTCAATTAGTTGAGTTTACAGGTGTGAACCACCAAGCCTAGCTCTTACCATATTTTGATGTTGGGGGGGGGGGACCCAACCACATATTTATAATAACAAAATCAAATGTGTATGGGATATGCAATCTGTTTTCTTCAAATCCTATTAAATCCGTTCTCATTGAAAATCCATTTCATCAAAGACCCTAAGGGGGGGAGAGAGCCTGCAACAAAACACACAGGTGTGGATGCTTAGAACATGAAGAGAAGCATAGCTTCTGCCAATCACCTTCAAGTCTAGAATTGCATTGTACATAGCATAAAACTATGCCATATAGTTGAAGGAGAAATAAAAAAATCTCCATGATAAAAATTAGATAGGAATTTATGATCCCTAAGCATCTCTATAGAGGATTCCAGACATAATGCTTCAGTATGAATAGGGTGACAAACAGACACACAACTGGCCACCAGGGATGAATAAACAATATCAGGAATGTTAATAAAAAGAAGTCTAAGAAAACAGCACAAAACCAACAAATAACAGGAACTTATATATACTCATCTGAGTTTAGTAAACTAATATCTTGGAATTAGTGTTCTTAATTGCCCAAGGAAAAGATATAGACTACCAGATTGGATTAGTAAACAGCATTCATCTCTTTCATCCCAAAATCATGTCTTGCAACCAAAGATAGATATCACCTTAGAGTAAAAGGATGGAAAATAATTTTCTAAGCAATGGAACAAAGAATCAACCAGGCATGGTTAATCTAATATCTGACAAGATAGAATTCAAACCAAAACTACTTAGGAGAGATAAAGAGGGACTCTTCATTATTATTAAAGGATCAACCCATGAAGAAGCTATTATAATTTTAAAAGCATCTCCACCAAACACATGTGCACCCAATTTCATAAAATGCTAATTGATGTACAACCACTGATTAATCCCAACACAATGATAGTGGATAACTTCAATGCCCTACTGTGGTGGTTAGAAAGAAAATGCCCCCCAAAGGAAGTGGCACTATTAGGAGATGTGCTCTTGTTGAAGTAGGTGTGGCCTTGTTGCAGGAAGTGTGTCACTATGGGAGTGGGCTTTGAGGTCTCTTTTTCTCAAGCTTCACTCAGTGTGACACTCAATCTACTTCTTGTTGACTTCTGATGAAGATGTAGCTAACACCATGTCTGACTGCATGCCACCGTGCTCCCGGCCACCAAGCTCCCCAAAATGATGATTATGAACTCAACCTCTGAACTGTAAGTGAGCCATTTCGATGAATTGTTTTCCTTTATTAGAGTTGCTGTGATCATGTCTCTTCATGGCACTAGGAATCCTAACCTACTCTCAACAATAAATCTTCTAGGCAAAAACTAAACAAGAAGATGACTTAATGACAGAAAGAGCATGACCATCTCAACAGATTCAGAAGAGGCTTCTGTCAAAATCCAACATCTCTGCACGGTGAGAGCCTGAAAAAGACTTAGAATGGAAGATGCATACCTCAACATAATGAAGACATAAGACAAACCTATAGCCAATATCCTAGAGGAAAAAGGAAAAACTCCCACTAAGAGTAGAAACAATATAAGAATGTTTACTCTCCACTCCTATTCAATGCAGTGTCTTATCTACAGTAGTAATAAAAGAATACACACACACACAAACACACACACACACACACACACACACACACGGGAGAAGAAGTCAAATTATCTTTAACTGTCAGTGATATAACTTTACACATAACAAAGGCTCCACAAAGACTCACAGAGATGACAAACACTTCCACCAAGTAGGAAACTCACAAGAATTGGGACTCATCCTTTTTTCTTTTTTTTTTTTAAATTTATTATTTTACATGTCAATCCCAGTTCCCTCTCCCTCCTTCTCTCCCTCCCTTCCTTTTACCCTCTCCAATGCTGAAAATGAAGTCATGGAAATAATCACATTCCAATAAACACACACACAGAGAGAGAGAGAGAGAGAGAGAGAGAGAGAGAGAGAGAGAGAGAGAGAGAGAGAGAGAGAGAGAGAGAGAGAGAACAACCACACAAAAACCTGGAGATAAACCTATCCAAGGAAACAAGCAAAAAAAACCCTACAGTGCAAACTTTTGGACTCTGAAGGAAAAAATGAGGGAAAAACTAGAGGATGGGAAACTTGCCATGCTCATGAATTGTAAAAATTAATCTGCTCTAAACAGTTATGCTACTAAAAGAAATCTGGAGGCACAAAAGGCGAATGATAGCTGGAGCAATCCTGTTCAGGAAAGTATTTGGTGCCATCATAACTGAATATGAATGATATTACACCACAGCCATAGTAAGACAACAACATAGTGCCGGCACAGGGACAAACAGATCGAATAGGCATTGGTGAGACTTCCTGAAGAGGACTCTGGCAGCACAGCAGACACTCAACAATGGATCCTCAGAAACCAAAAAGCTTCTGCATCGCAAAGGAATATGCCAGTTGAGTGAAGAGGCAATCCACAATATGAAAACAAATTTTTACTACCTATGCTTTTGACAAAGGACTGGTGTCTAGACTAACCAACGAATTAAAAAAATATAAACATCAAGAAAACAAAGAAATCAATTTTAAAATGGGCTAGATAATGGAAAAAAGTAGTTCTCAAATGTTAATTATACCCATAGATAAGAGAAATTCCCTTTTACAGTGGGCAGTGGTAACTGCAGAAATTCACAGCTGGTCAGAGTGGTGAGAACAAGAGACTGCTGGATACTCAACATGAGTAGGGCATCACACACACACGCACACACACACACACACACACAGCATGAAAGGGGGAGGAAAGAATGTAAGGGTGTGGAATTATGTGGGTCACTGGCTTCAGAGGGCATCTCACAGCAGTTGTGTTTCCAAGAACAAAAATTATGCAAGATTAGGCCTATTGATATCAAGATGGTGGGAGGGGCCCATTAAGCCATTATAGGCAGATAAGATCTTGAGGTTCCACCTTTCTCTGAGTATCTAGGAGTAGTTGATGGGGGGAGGGAGAGACTTTTCTTAGGTGGAGTATGAGTCTGTAAATTATCTCTCACCCAGCACCCTGTAAGAAAGCCTAGTAAAATACAGTGGTTACAGGGAAAAAATCATAAATGTAGGAAGACCAGCTCATAAGAAGACTAGGATCAGTGAGGACGAGGAGAAAACAAGAGAGGGGAATGAGGTGACTATGATAAAAGTACATCATATACAGGCATGGAAATATCAGAATGAGGTCTACTATAGTCCATAATTAACACTTGCAATACAGAAAGATATAATGATATAAATGTACATTAAGACCAATAAAATATTTACTTAGAAATACCTAGTTAATTGCACATTTACAATCAATAATTTAACCATTTAAAACTCTTTGTTAATTAGATTATTACTGATTATCAAGATTGATAAAAAAACTTACTAATTTTGATTCTTAATTTAATAGCTTTTACTAAAGATATGTGTGGTGTATAATATGTGTGTGTGTGTGTGTTATGTGCCTTTACATCACTATAATGGAAGGCCTGGCGTGGGTCATTTGTGAAGAAAACAGTTTTCTTTTTGGCATGCTTGTTTGGATCATCAGGTCAAAGATTGGGCAGCCCCATGATCTGGGTCTTTGGAAAGGTGTCACTCTGGGACAGAAGCCAAGAAACCACAGAGGAGAAATGCACTGGACATCTTCAAAACCACCGAAGCTAAGGTCCTTTCACGAAGGTTCTTAAAGTCCACAAAACTTTCTCCCCAGGGATAAAACTTCTACTTATGGAATTGTAGTGAAAATGTAGCCAAGCCATACCGACTTTTAAAAAATGATTTGAAAGACTTGAATAAATCCATGTGTCTGACAATGGAAAGTACTGTGGAAAGTTTCCAATCAATTGAAAATTTTCCATGAGATGGAAAGCATGGTGTAGCACACAGGAAGTCTGGCTCATCGAACCTGGGGATTGCCGAATCACATGTATAGCCAGCGCTTCTGCCTCCTCACATTGGCAACCTTAGGCAGCTGATGCTAATGTGACCGTCAGTGTCTCTAAGAAAGATTCCAGAGAAGCACTGCATTCTCGTGTCTAGCTGAAATTGCTTCCTCTGGCACTCAAATCTGTTCCTCTAAAATTTCCAGATAAATAAAAATAGAATTAAAGTGTCCAGTGAGTCTGCAGGGATCATGTGTCACCATAAGAAACTGAACTGACTTGCAAAATAGTATGAGGCTGATCTCTGAAGCAGTGTGGCAGCCAGAGTGCACAGTGAGTGTCCAAGGGCAGCTAAGAGGGACAAAGAGATGAAAAGAAACTGTCAGCGCTAACATGTATGCTATGTGTGGGGAGAACCTCGAGTCTCAGCCGTCTGTGAACACAT